GCGCGTGGGGGGGGGGGAGCATTGGGCCACTAAGGGTAGCTTTACATGGACCCTGTTTATGGGGTTTGGGACCCACTAAGGCTAGCCCTAAAACCTCCTTGATGGTCTTTGAGGCCCACTAAAGGTAACTTTAAATTAAACAGTTCCAGAAAAAAAGCACCGACCAAAAGGGACCCTCCTGTGGCCCAAAAAAGCTTCTTAAACTCCAGTACGGCTGCCCCCGTTTCTTTCTTTTTATGTTTTAACTTTAAATTAACCCTGTTGATGGCCTTTGGGGCCCAATAAGGCTAACTTTAAAAATTGACCCTGTTGATGGCATTTGGGGCCCACCAATGAGAACTTTAAATTTTATGGTCTTTGAAGCCAACTAAGCAAAACTTTAAGTAGACTCTGGATAGCCTTTGAGGTCCACTATAAATAGCTTTAAATGGACCATGTTGATGGTCTTTCAGGCCCACTAAGGGTAACTTTACATTGACCCTGTTTATGGTTTCTGGGGCCCACTAAGGGTAACTTTACATTGACCCTGTTGATGGTTTCTGGGGCCCACTAAGGGTAACTTCAAATGGACCCTGTTGATGGTCTTTGGAGCTCACCAAGGATGACTTTAAATGGACCCCGTTTATGGCTTTTGGGACCCACTAAGGGTAACTTTGAATGGCCCGTGTCAATGGCCTTTGAAGCTCGGGCAGAGTAACTTACAGTGACCCTCTTGCTGGTCTTTGGAGCCCATTAAGGGCAACTCTAAATCAACTTCGTTGATGATCTTTTTTTATTCCATGGAATTGGGAGTGTGGCAGGTAATAGCCTTCAGGCATAAAATACATTTTCTTTCTAAATACTAATCTTTCCCACCCGAGGAAGGCGTGGCTTACCGCATCTGTTGTCCACCCGCACCTGACCGCTTCCGCACATCTCCGGGAGCTCCGGCGCCCTGGGGACCTTTTTGGTGACCTCAAAGTCCTTCCCGGACAGCCGGACATGAAAATGGTCCTTGCCGATCGCCTTCCTCAGCGTCCTGATGGTCTTCCGCAGCCTCTTTTCCGCTTTCCTCCTTACGCAGCTGAAACTGCACGACTCTGCCGTGAAATGAAAAAGCCGTCAATGACTCCTCGCCGCCTCTGCAGAGGCCATTGATGGTAATACAATCCGTGCCATTAAACTTTCACCAACCTAACCGATCTGCTGATAACCGTCACCCAATGTCCACACACAAAATGGTCACAAAACAGGAGATACTCGGACAGGAAAGCAAGAGAAGGCCAAGAAAAAGCGATACAGACCCCAGACCCCCGCCAACCAACCTGTCACCTCCTTCTGATTGGCCTCCAGCTCAAACTGCGCCGTGATAACCGTCTCCTTAGCAGCTGACTTGCGTCCGCTCGCCCTCCGATTGCACGTTATGTTTACGAAGTCGAATCTGTCGTAGACGAGGTTTTGCTTTTCTGTGTGGAGAGAAGAGATGAAAGGAAGACGGCGGGCGGATTATTCCGTTCTTTGTTTAATTACAGCGTCTGATTAAAGAAATTTGATACAATGTAACGACTTGGCACCCCATTCATTTCTTGTATCCTGCTGCGACGGCGTCCTCGGATTACAGGGCAGACATCTCCGCCGCGTCTCTCTGAAATGGATGTTTATGTTCTCGTATCCTGCTCATTAAAATGTTTTCAGCCCCGGAAAAGTGGCGGGTTTGGGGGAAAGGTATGAAGCATTATTATTAAAATGTGCGCACTTTGCATGTTTTTACTGCTACCGTCTATTGGTAGGTCTCATGGAAAGACGAATACAAAAATACGCAAAGACACCCAGGTAAATGTCTGGCCCTGAAGAGGTCACAGGTGTCTCGGGGACCGCGTTGTCTCAGGCGGGAACCCGTTGGGGGGCAACCCGGTGGTGGTGGGGGGCGGCCACAGCGTCCCAGGTTGCCAAGAGCTCTTAGCAACCTGTGACACTCTTGCATCCCTCCAAGCTCCTGGCAACCTGTGACATCAGTGACATCACAGGTTGCCAGACTGAGCTGCTGACAGTGTGGTCCGGTGTCCTCCGCAGCCCCCACAACCCCCCTACAAGTGTTCCCTGTCAGCACATTCCTCCACCTAACACCATGGAACCACATTGCGACTGGTGGCAAATTCCATAGGGACAGATGTGGCTACAGTTTTAAAAATTAAATGGTTTAGTACACTATGCACCAATGACACTGGTGCCACAGAGCATAATCATTAGCCTTAAGCAGGGGGTAGACAACCTTGGCCCTCCTACAGTTGTGGAACTACAAGTCCAATGAGACACTGCAAGACTGACAGCCACAAGCATGACTCCCATAAGCAGAGTTATGATGGGATTTGTAGTGCCAAGGTTGCCTACCCCTGGCCTAAAGAGATAGTGGAAGCTGTTTGCTTTCTGACTGCCTCTCTCTAATTGAATCCCTTTACATCCATCTGAAAAGAGCAGGCATAGCTGACATTTTCCTGAACTCTGAGACTTGCCTAAACAACTGCCCCTGAAATAGGACCTCGGTAGCTATTGGAGTCACATCCTTAGACAGACTGGCAATTAATTCTGATGGAAAATGTATGCTGGTGTGCGGGGGATGGGTAGTATTTAATACAAAGCAGGTTTAAAAGCAATGACAGAATTGGAAAAAACAAAGAAGTGGCCCTAAATTTTGCCCTCTTTAACAATGATCCATATGAAGGTCTCCAGGACATAGCGGACCCCCATCCCTCGCTGGCAGGAGACGCTGGGGATTTTTGCAGTCGTGGACCGTATTCCGATTTCAGTCCACATACAGGAAATGGGGGTTCCTCCCGAGTTCCTACCTGACACCTTGTTCTGGGCAAGTCCCTGGTGCGCGTCAGTCCGCTTCATTCTGCAAGCGCCGTCATTCAGCTTAAAAGTGATACTCGTCTGTACAGTTGTGACATCTGCAGGTAATAAAGAAGAAAGGTGTTATGAGAGAGAGAGAGAAGGGAGAGAGACAGAGAGAGAGGAGGAGAGAGAGAGAGAGAGAGAGAACTGGAGTTCAATTACTAAAAAAACAAAACAAAATCACACGCAAAAAAAGAAATGTTAAAAGTAAGAAAATCAATTTAAATTTAAAGACATTTAAAGATGTGAGGGGACACGGGAGCGTTACGACGGGACACGGGAGCGATACGACGGGACACGGGAGCGTTACGACGGGACACGGGAGCGTTACGACGGGACACGGGAGCGTTACGACGGGACACGGGAGCGTTACGACGGGACACGGGAGCGTTACGACGGGACACGGGAGCGTTACGACGGGACACGGGAGCGTTACGACGGGACACGGGAGCGTTACGACGGGACACGGGAGCGTTACGACGGGACACGGGAGCGTTACGACGGGACACGGGAGCGTTACGACGGGACACGGGAGCGTTACGACGGGACACGGGAGCGTTACGACGGGACACGGGAGCGTTACGACGGGACACGGGAGCGTTACGACGGGACACGGGAGCGTTACGACGGGACACGGGAGCGTTACGACGGGACACGGGAGCGTTACGACGGGACACGGGAGCGTTACGACGGGACACGGGAGCGTTACGACGGGACACGGGAGCGTTACGACGGGACACGGGAGCGTTACGACGGGACACGGGAGCGTTACGACGGGACACGGGAGCGTTACGACGGGACACGGGAGCGTTACGACGGGACACGGGAGCGTTACGACGGGACACGGGAGCGATACGACGGGACGCGGGAGCGATATGAAGAAATAAACAGCGACGATCTATTCTCCGGGTGAACAAACTTGTTGCTGGGAAGTTCGGAGCTTCCTAGACAGACAAATGTTTACAGATCTGCAGGAAGCGGCAAGAAACAAGTCCGGCCCTGTCATCTTACAGTTGGCAATTACCATCAAATCAGCCGGAATCATTTCTAAAGCAAAAAGATTTTAATCTCCGAGACGTTTCCTGCTGACGGTTTAGCGAGAGACGCGAGCTCAGCGACCTTTTAATAACAGAGACGATACGGGAGCCGAGATCGCCCGCTTCATGGCCAAGGCTGGTCACAGACATGAGAGAATGATCGGAGGGGAATGGACAATCCAACCCTCTCCTGATGTCTTTGCAATTGTTTTTCCAAGAAGTAGATACATTGTAGCCACTCAAGAGGGATGATGGTGGAGGAGGGGAGGAGGGGTGGAAACCTGCCCCATGGACCCCAAATCACCACCCGATCCACCCAAAGAAGTCCAGAAACCGCTAACCAATGTCTATCGGTTCCTGTATGTTTGGTACTCTCATGGTTAACTAGGCTGAAAACAGACAAGTTCAAACTCTAATAACT